TATATATATATATATATATATATATATATATATATATATATATATATATATATATATATATATATATATAAATATATATATATATATATATATATATATACATATATATATATATATATATATATATATATATATATATATATATATATATATATATATATATATATATATATATATATATATATATATATATATATATATATTATATTTATATTTATATTTATATTTATATATATATATATATATATATATATATATATATATATATATATATATATATATTTATATTTATAAAAAGTTTAATTTATTGTAAAGGTTCAGTTTTCTATCTACTAAGCTTGTCTTAAAAACTAAAATATCTGGTTTACAGTTAACCATATCTTAACTATTACAAAACTATTAGTTTCATTTTCATTACTTGTAACTAAAAATTGTAGTCAATAGATCTAAAACTTAATTCTATTAACAGCTAACTGTAACCATACTGACTCTGACCAATTTATTAATTTTTGTACCCTGTAATTCATTAATAATTAGGCTTATACTAAAAGGCCGAAAGTTATCAATTGTAGATTTTATAGTCCCTGGTCTAGACTAACAAGACTAGTCTACAAGTCTAATAGTACTAATACACATGATCTAGTTTATAAGTTTACTACTAGGCAACTTGCTAGAAGACTAGTACTTAACCAAACTTTAACTTGCTAAAAATAAAAGGGCCTAATACAATAATAGATGGCCTAGTAATACTTTTTTTTTACTGTGCTACTTACACTGCTTTTGGTACTATTACTATGACTAACTAACTAGACTACTAACTAAACTCTATTGTAGCTTGATGGAGATCTATCATCTTGCTCTTCTAGTAGTCTACACTACTTACTACTTAGAAAAGTAGTAGCACTACTGTAACAATTTCAAACTAAATTTAATCTATATATTACTAGATCTACTCATTGCAACACTGTAGTCTGATAAGTCTGTAAGCCCTAAATGTATCTAGACTATTCTAGACCTAGATTCTAGTCTAATTTAGTTTCAGTCTAGTTATTAGTACCTACACTCTACAATAGTCTACAGTACTCTACACTACACTCTACTACTACTCTAATCACTCTACACTCTACTGGCTACTGATCTAGATCTAGTAAATAGCTAGAGTAGATCTAGTCTAGATTCTAGATATAAAAAAATTAATTTAAAATTAAAAACAGGTTAGCCTTACTAGGCATTACTAGCTCTTACTAAACTTAACTAGGTAGGTTTTACCTAAACTAGATCTAATCTAGATCTAGAATCTATCTAGATCTAGATCTACTAGATTCTCTAGATCTAGATTTTAGATCTAGGGCCTACCATACTACCATCTGCAACTAGAATCTAGATCTATTCTACTATCTCTATCTAGATCTAGAAATACTATCTATCTAGCCATCTATCTACAAGCTACTTCTAATAACTAATAGATCTATATAATAATAGGCCTACTTCTAAAATATTAAACAGTAATCACTGAGTAATCAGTACTAGAGTCTAGTTCAGTAATCTAGCTAGATCTAGATCTATTAACATTAACATTGTTGTCTAAGTTCTAGATATCTAGATCTAATATCTAGATCTAGAATCTAGATTCGATTAATAAGTAATAAGTAAGTCGTAGTCGTAGGCTGAGTGAGACTGGAAGTCATCCTCATTTTCCTGTTGTTTTAGTTTTTACCGTCATCCTTTTCTTAATATTTTTAATATTTTATCTTATCTAGATCACTAAAATACTAGATCTAGATCTAATATATTCTAATTCATGAACTTATACTCTTAGAACTAGATTAAAGCAATGTAGATCTTAGTAGGTAGATTCTAGAATCTAGATCTAGTCCTAGGTCTGGGAATCTTAAGTACCTAATCTTAAGTCTCGTAGCAAAGACTAAAGACTGAGTAGAGTCAGAGTAATGTCCCCTAGCCTTGGACAAACTATCAACAAAAGAAATAAAATCAATATACTTACCGCCACAAAACTTTTATATTCAAAAATGCATACACATGTGTTTGTTCCCATCCATATGAACAAAACAGCGTTGAAAGTTTTTACAGTTGTTGCATTTCTGGAACGTTTGATGATTTTGAAATCTTGAAGCGGGACCTACTAACAAATAGCCGCCATGTTTTTTGTTATCAATGGGAAACCCCGTTCACAACAATTGAATGGAGGCGAGCGAGTTGACGAGATTCCTTCCATAATGTTGTTGTCATGGAATAAAAACGTGTTTTTTTAGATTTAGACCGTAAAAAAAAAATAAAAAATAAAAACTTAAGCCTAAAATTAATTTAGAAATTTTATATTCTTAGAATAAATGCTATAAAAGTTGCAAATCCAGAGAACTTGAAAATAATTTGTTGAGTTTAAGGCTACATTTCTATTTATTTTCATCAAGCCTAAGTTATAACCGGATGTTTCACTTTCGTAAGACAAATATTGATTGGCTGTACAGTAACTTAGTGATCGATAACTATTTGTTTACAAAACTTTGCAGATCAAGTTTTTAAATAGCAATGCAAATTTAAAACCCCATGACCTAGTTTTCTATTTTTAGCTTACAATGTGTACAATAAAATCTATGGCAGCCTATCCAATAGCAGGATGCCATGTTTATGTCGCCATTACACGTGAAAACCAAATTGTTTTTGCTTTTTTTTTAATTTTTATTTAGTTACCGAAAATATTATAAACATCAAATACATCCAATCTTTAGTAAAGTCCGAAAAAAACCAGACAGGCAGGATTTTATAACCATATTAATTGTAACTACGCCGTGCCTGATTTTTAAACTAATTTATACACCTCTCAAATACCTTTGAGAGTTTTCTCGCTCGTGTCCATTAGTTCGAAAACTTTTATCTCTCCCTGGCTAACCAGACACGAATTAACGCGAGAAAGAACGATAAACTTACAAGTTCTATACCGGCTCAGGAGTTTGACTCCAATTAGCCAGGCAGGCCTCGACGTAGTGAACTACCTGTTGGTCGCTTATTCATCCGTAGGCTCTGACCAGGCTTTACTTCCCCCACCACCAGACGCGGGACATCGTCCTACCGTTTGGTACCCGGCTAGGTCAGGGGTCGGCAACCTGCGGCTCGCGAGCCGCATGCGGCTCTTTTGATATCAAGATGCGGCTCTCCAGCTCCTTGAACAAATACTAATAATCTTAATAAAAAAATAAAATATTTGAAATAAAACAAATGTTAGTGGCTCTTTAAAAGCAGGGAAATTTTGAAAATTGTAACTTTTGGCTCTTCTGCTTCAAAAGGTTGCCGACCCCTGGGCTAGGTCGATGGTCAGAGGTCTAAAGCTTCTACAGGCCTAAAGTAAACAGTCATATTTATTACTGCTCACTTAGCGGATGGTTCTAGGCTCTCTGTATTTTGTTAGTGTGTGTGTATCGTGGCAGTGGGTGGCTGGGTGGGGGCAACATATAATAATGCTAAAAATGAGTACATATTGGTTAGATGTTAGGGGATCAGCGTGGTTGAATCGGTAAAGCTCGTGGATGCTTAACAGAAATGTCTCGAGTTCAAACCCTAGGGCAGATGAGGCTCGTTAGCTGGGGACAGCAACTCTTCTAGGGGAGACAACTCCAAAATCAAACAAATGCTGCCTTGTAGTTTGTTCTTAGTTGGACAAAGGCTATGGAAACAAATTTAAAAAGAAAAGCAGGCTGAAATCAGAGTCAATGGTCTCAAAGGCTCATAACCAGTTGACACGTATACTTAATTTGGTTGGAGAGGATCCCTTCCAACACTAAAATCAAGAACGAAAAACAAGAGAAGAAGAAGAAGGTTAGATGTTTGTATCCAATTTACCGCTCATTGAACACAATTGACAGCTTTTTAAAATTAGCAGTTTTGTAAATATAGGAATGTTCCTATAAGTTATAAATAATCCATTAATATCTTGGTAAATGGGCGATTCCTCCAAGTTGGGTCCACGTCATTCCGGCTGCTTCTGCTTCATTGACAGCTAACCTTTTCCACGATTGTTTTGGCCTACTTACTTCCCTTTTTCTTTGGCAATTCCAACAATCTAGATCCTGTCTGGTGATGTTTGTATATTATGGTTTACGCAGGGTCTGTCCAATCCATCCCCATTTGAGCTTTCGTATTTTTTAGCGCAATTACCATACTGGGATTGCGATTATTAACTCGTCATTTCTGGATGGATGTGTGGATGTGTGTCCGCAGCTTTAGCAGCTTTAAGTCGTATCTCCTCCTCAACGAAGCAATATCGAGGACTAGTTCCAAAAGCAAATATGTTAAGCAAGTTCCGAGGATGAACATAGGCTAAAAAAAATTCCCGGAATTCCTTCCTGGATTTCACGGAAAAGCCAAAAAACGTCAAAAAAAATGCAGTTTTTGGCCCATATCTCGGTAATTTTTTTTTTTTAAATTACCTAAACACTTGCAAACCGATCGTTCTCCTAGCTTGAACGCACCCCAGCATTATACGTCTTGTGATCACTATCTATTTTTAGATAACATAAGGAAATTGCGCTTAAATTGTCACTAGACATTTTATTAACTTGTTTGACAAAATGGTTTTGCCCTTTTTTTTTTAGTAATATATAGAATTCTAGATTCTAGGCCCATTTTTATTGACTGGGGCTGGCAGAACCAAAGTTAAGAAATTAGATGCCTTTATTTGGAAAAACAACAGTGGTCTATTTTATTGTATTATTGTAATTTTATATGTGGCTTATTATATTTAAAAATTAAATACGCATAGATGGGAATTGAGGGTCGCCCACATCAAATATCAGGCCCTTTGGTTGGGGGGTGATGATCTGATTTTTTTGTGACAAAGGCGTAAAGATTTAATTTTATAATGATTCTAGTCTTAGAAATAACAGGCCTAGCCCAAATTTCATTCATTTGATTTTGAAAGCGTTACTGATTTTTATAAAGTTTGCTTCCTGTTAGCCTCGGTTTGAATGCTTCATAGCAATGATGGCGGACTATGCGAGTTGTAGAGCAACGAAAGTTTGCATTTCATACTCGCAATGGAGTTTAATATAAAAAGTTCGAAATTCTCGTATTATAAGCATGAATGCACGTTTTCTGTGCAGGTGAATTATTATTATTATTTTTAAAAACTTGCCAATTTAAATAAGTGGTTATAATTAACTTTTTTTCTTTGAAAATAAATAAAAAATTCAGTCAGACAAAAAAACAAACCAAAAAAGTTAAAAAGTAAAAAGTTTTTGGAAATTATTTTGCCGCTCTTCATAATTTATTCTCAATGCCTAGATTTTAGAGTCAAAATTTAGTCAAGAAAAAAATCTAGAATAGATTCTCATTCTAAATCTAGTCTAGATCTATGTAATATGTAGGCCTAACTTCAAACTTGTAAGTATTTCTAACTTTCAGATTAGTTAGGCTAACAATCATTAAATTATAAATTATTAAATAGTTAGTTTAGTTACAATAGTTAGGCCTAGGGGGCCTAGGCTATCAGTCATCATTCTTTAATTAAATTTAAAACATTTCGACCAACTCGAATTCTAGATCTACATTTATTTATTATATCTAGATCCAGATCTAGTAGACTCAACCTAGAATACCTAGAACTAGACTCTAGATCTAGAGTAACATTACCAGCCCCGGACACCCTTAGCCCGAAACGGAGACTCCTTTCCTGTTCGAGACACCTAATTTCGTTACTATTTGACATAGAATGAAAACCAAAGCATATAAATACTCTCCATCCAAAGAAGAATAAAAATATGTATTCCCTTTTTTTCCATTCGCAATATAACTTTTAAATATATGCCCCCGAAACAGACGACCCAGTCGTCCTGGACCCGACTAAAATTTTCCCGGTTTTGCCTCCAAACGACTGGTCTTTCCTCCATCCGACTAAGTCATATTTTGCTGTTTTTTTTTCAGCTCAGTTGAATAAATAATCGTGTACTATTAATATTTTATGTGTTTAGTTTTGTGTTTCAGTGTGTATTTGATTTTAAATGCCAAAAATAATATAATTTATAACAATGGAAAAAAAAATATAGGGGAGATAACTCTTCCCAATAAAATGTTTGTGTTATGGTTTACTATGGGTATCGTTTCCAGGCAAAACATGTAAATTTTCATCCTCCTTACGACTACCCCCAAAAAATGTATTTAGTAAAGAAAATAGCATTTTCTATAAATATATATGTTCTGTAGCCTATCCCATTCAATTTCAGTTCATTTTTTCTGAAAAAAAAAATAAACATTGTTTTAAAAAGACGCTAAGTCGTGAGGAGGCTTTGCTTGTCCCGGCAACATAAAAATGGCCGCCTACATGACGGGTTGCTTTTAATTGCTCATATCCCACTGGGTAATTCAATGGATCAAAGTTTGATATAAATGGCCTTATAAATGGACATATTTGCTACCAATTATAATGTTTCTGTATAAAATATTCAAATAACAGTGCAATTAGTATTCAAAGTGAGAGTTACGGAGTTGTTCATTTCGAGGCGCATAGTCGGGCCAGGCAGAGTTACTCTAGACGTGGTAAATGACAAAGCCTATTTTAATAAAAAGGCCCATTCATGGACTATTGTAACTTAACAGTTCAGATACCTCTGGTAGTTCAAAATCACAAAATTAATAACTTGACTTGATTTTTTATTTATTTACAAAACTCAATGAAGAATCGCAACAAATTTTAGCATTAGGATTTGTAAATTACCACGCACCCCTTTTTAATTAACGAAGTGACTACTCAGAAAAAGATGTTTCAGCAGAAAATACAAAACTCAATAGTTCTGGGCATGTGTAGTGACCTTAATAGCTTTGCTAGAGATAGGGTTAGGTTTCTGGGGTTTGTAAACACATGTATGCGCAGTACTATCAAAAACATTGTTGAGTATGAAGGCGGTAGTTTCTCTTCATTGCGCATGCATATCTTTTTCCAACTAGAATCCACCTTTAATTAATACTACTGCTAGACTTCTAGTTAATTTTAAATGATTATTTTATTTAACTACTACTAGGTTTAGATCTAGATTAGATCTACTTTTTAGCTGTTGTTTACTTTTAGTAGCCTTCCAGTACTTAGGTTAGGTTAGGTTTGCCTGTCGTCCCTACTGGGACACAGGCCGCTGACAAGAGCTTTCCAGACTTCTCTGTCCTGGACTAGTCTCTCCAACTGTCCCCAGGTGTATCCAATCTTCTTGGTGTCTTCTTCCAGGTCACGTCTCCAAGTCTTTCTTGGTCTGCCTCTCCTCCTCCTGCAATACTACTAGCAGTAAAATTACCGTTCTGGCCAGTTTAAATTCACCCCAGGTTAAATGCATGAATACACAGTAAAAAGTCTTACCTAAGAAACCACACAAAAGAAGTTATCTATCTTTGAATCAACAATATTCAACCATAATTACTTCAGCACTTATTAGGCCTACCCTGAGGACATCACAGAGCAACAGAATAAGACACATTTGTCAAGAAATCTAGTATAATTTGTTTGTAAATACATCCATGCTCATACTATAGTTTGGTACTAATAGAGCACCCAAAGGTTCAGGTTGAATGAACAGCTATTCTTCATCTAATCCTAACCAACTTTCATATATAAGGTATCTTTCTTGAGTGATGGAAATTAAAGTAAAATAAAATCTTGAAGCAAGTCATAATTTTTACTTAATCTGGTATTTATATAATCAATTATCCACCAGCTTTTTTTTTCTGGAACAATAACAATAGCAATAGCTTTATCTAATACTATTATTGTCTACTGGCAATCAGTAATATTTTTGTTAGCAATAACTACATTTTCAGTGTTATGATTCTCGATACAAAACTCGGAGCACAAAAAAGTCATGCCACGCAACCACTTACTAAAATTTTATTTTTTAGATATTGCAATATATTATGTACTAACCATGTTTTGTTGAGATCTTCAATTTTTCAAATGCTCTTATAAAATGAAATCCTTTTGTTAAAACATAAACTTGCAACACTTTTGTGATTTTAAAAAAAAATCTTTTTCAGTATTTCTAAATAGTGATTAACCTGCAATGACTTTGATAAATGAGATAGTACAGTTGTTTGGAAATTAAGCCATTTGATATCAATTGAACTGATAAAATGGCTCTCAAACCTGTCCTGAAAATTAAAGTGGATGAATTGTTTCTCAGGTGGCTGAGTAATTCTGAAGTTCAGGTAATTTGCAATTTATTTTTGCTTACACAATTACTATAGCTAGTTTCTAAAAATGACTAGGGCGCACAATCACCTTCTAAAAAAAGGGACGTCTCTGAGTCTACTTAGCTCTGATGGGTTACTAACTCATGGTAGGGAAAGTAAGGGCAGTGGATATAAAACTGTCCATGCAAAACTTCATATGCTGAGGTCACAGAAACAGGTGAACTCTATATCAGGTCTGAAAAGGTAACTTATTTCTTTACTCTAAAAATACACTATTGCTTGCATTCCACTTCATTTAAAAATCTTATTGCAGAGGGATGTACATTTTACACCTTTTTGAGTAATGATCCATTCTTAATACATGAGGCTCTATACTAAATGCATTACTCTTTCTAAATATTATGATTCACTTTTTAAAATTAAAGGTGAATTTCTTAACCATGAAAATCAGACAGGAAATTTTTTTTTTTAAAGGGCAAGTAAGCCCAGTTCAACATTGCTCTCCTTAACCTTTAAAATCCTTACAGGGTGAGAGAATTCTGGTAAAATATATAAAACTGAAATTAAGTAGTTATTGCCCTTTTACTTAAAAAAAAAGCTAAGATGCGTAATTCTTCTGGTTTCTTTTAATGTAACAGGTTATTATCTTTCTTTTCTAAACCTTAAGGAGAATAAAGCTTATACTAACACTATCCACAATACTAATTTATATAACAAATTTTAATTAGTTGTTTAAAAACATATCTGATTCTCAAATAAGCTTATGATTGATTCATCAGATTCCTATCCCCTATATTGAATGCCCCTCAATATAATCACACAATTTACACATAAATTAATTTTGACATCTGGTTTTTCCCAGTCAATAAAAAATAACAATTGACTAAGAATAGTTCAGATGTCTAATCACTGTCTACAGGCAATTAAAGTGTTTACTAAACAGCTAAACTCTATTTAATATTCCTCAAGTGTCTTGGCCATTAACAGGAAATGATGATTATGATTACTTAGCTGCAAAGTCACCCTTTAAGATTTCAAAATGCAACGCAAGCAACTGATTTTGCAGTTCTGTAATAGTAGCTTTTAACTTCATCTAGCAAACTCTTTGTTTCTCTATTTAAAAAACCCCTATGAAATCACCTGCTACCATATTATCTCAAATGTTTAAGGTTTCCCTGAGAGACAGCCTAGCTCAGCTAGCCAGAGGAGAGGCTGTAAGTGCTACAGCAAAGTCTTCCCAGCCCCTCAGGGGTAACTCCCCAAGGGGAACAAGCAACACCTTAGTGACGCCAACTTCACCCAAGCTGCCAAGTCCACATAGCCCCAGACGACCGTTACATGTGAAGAAGCAAAATGTTGGTGTTGTGGATAATCAAAAGGTAGGGCATTTTTTAAAAATAAAATTTTAAAATTCCTTTACTTTTTAATAATGTAAAGTTGATTTTTCCCCCTCTTTCACCATATCTTAATTATTCTTTGTAATCATATACTAATTATTTTGTTGTGTTTTCATGTTACGTTTTTTTTTTTGCAATATCAAAGAAAAATGATTGTCGCAGAAAGAAAGTTTAAAAACTGATTGATTATAAATTGCCCTTTATTCACAAGGTTAATAACTCCTTTCTGATTAATCACTGAAAATCATTTCAAACATATTCACTTATACCATAGTTAAAAAAAAAATTTCAAACTCACTTTGTCAACATCAAATTGAAGAAGATTTTTCAAAAACTAAAGAATTTTAAAAGTTAGATAACTCTAAATTTCTGTAAAAGCAGTACAGATAGGGACAGGTAAGAACTCAATGCTTTAAAAAAAATAGAACTTTCAGCCTTCAAATATCACTTTCAGTTACTTAACACAATTTCTGGTCTGAACCCTGTCTTTATATTAACACTGAAGGTTTTTTTTCAATAAGATAACAATTTCTCAAACTGCTCCTGTTAATGTTTTTTTTAAATGTTGGGTTACCATGAGGCCTATCTATTTTATAGAAATGTATGTGTTATGATGCCTGGTTTGTAACATGAAATAAATGTAATCACAATATACAACCAGGTGAACTTAAGCTTGGTTACATTAAAGATTAATGTATTCCGGTGTAAACAATCCCGGCTGTAAAACTCGTTAAAGAATAGAAGTCGCTATTGCTAAGATGAAAGACTTATGAAGTGATAAAAGGGAGATAACTAGCTGGTATATCTTGTGGCAATGACGGAGTTGTCTTTGTTAAACATGGTATGGGCGGCGCCTTGTTTCAGTGTTGATAAGAAAGTTCATGTTTTGTCTACAGAGGTAGCTTTTAATTAGAATTCGGTGGTAAATGATGACCACAAATGGTGTGTGTGAGGGGGGGGGGGGGGGGAGGGTTCAGCTTTTTTGACAATTCTCACATGGATAAGGGCCTTGAGGAAATTGCCATAGTACACATTATGAATTTCGGTGAAACGTTGAAAAGAAAGTAATTTTAATGATGTATTGGATTCTTTTTAAAACAAAATTACTTCGTGAAGGGAGTGTTAAACTCTGGTATAATGTTTAGCAGAATGGGATTCTGTCTGTTGGTTGGTGACGTTACTTTGTGAGAGGAAAGGGGTAAAATTGGCTAAAATAGCTTGATGGCATAATATCAGCTAAAATTGCTTGATGCCATAAAATAGGCTAAAATGGATGCCATAAAATAGGCTAAAATGGATGCCATAAAATCGGCTACAATTGCTTGATGCCATAAAATCGGCTAAAATTTGCTTGATGTCATAAAATCAGCTAAAATTGCTTGATGTAAAAAAATCGGCTAAAATTGCTTGATGCAATAAAATCGGCTAAAATCATTTGATGTAAAAAAATCGGCTAAAATTGCTTGATGCCAAAATAAAATTGCTTGATGCCATAAAATCGGCTAAAATTGCTCGGTGCCGTAAAATCAGCTACAATTGCTTGTTGCCAAAATAAAATTGCTTGTTGCCATAAAATCGGCTAAAATTGCTTGGCTCAAGGCAAAACATTTTCTGATCAGCACTAATAAAACCGTGACATGCTCATTGTTCCAATTAATTCCAAATGTGTGTGTGTGGGGGGGGGGGGGGAAGGGGGGCATGCTGGCCAATCTGCCCTCATGATTCACGCTGTATGTGTCAACCTGCTCCACCCACACGGACGGAGCACCGTGGAAAACAATGCGTGCCAGTAATAGCTCTCCTACTATAGGTCATTGCTACACCCTGTGTGTAGATGTTTCACCCCCTCCTCCCCCCTACTTCCCGGTCCTGTTTTAAAAACGATGCTTAAATACTTCCTTCTATTCTTTGATCTGCCGTGTGTTGTTCACTACTCTCAACACCCACACGCCGCTAAGCAGGAAATTGAACTACACACGAAATACGTATTAATTTTTCTTTTTTTATTTCTGTGAGTGGAAAAAAAAGAGCAGTTTTACATTAAGCATAGTTTATACAAGCACCTTCGGAAAGGTGAGCGGCGGAGTTACATCCAGTTCCCTCCCCTGTTTCTCCTGGATAAGTTCTCCATGTGGCTTGAACAGCTATATTTAGCGCGGTGGTCTGCATGTATGAACTGAATAGAACTGTTGGTTAGTGCTGTGTCATTTTACTCTGGTTTTTAGGGTGTGAGTTTTTAATTAATTTTCTTTGGATTTCTGTGGATTTTTTGTTTGTTTTAAAAATACAGTTCTTTGGATACTTAAAACGTAATCGTCCTTGCTTTTATTAAAAAAAAATTGTTTGATTTCTAAGACGATGATTCATTGAGATTATTTCTTGTTGTGTAAGTTTAATAAGATGTTGTTATTGCTTAGATTGTTTTAAAAATAACACTATTTGTTTGCGTGATGCTGTATTGAGTGGGCGGCGTATTTTGGTATTTATGTTTCATGTGATGCATCAGATACATTTCCTGTTAGAATATCCGGGTCAGCATCCTGTTGTCAGACATATGATGGACTGAGTTTTCTCTTGTCCAACATATGTTTTATTAAGCATAATTTTGTCTGACACATATTGTACTAAGCTTCCTCTTGTCCAGAAATTGTTATATATAACAAATTGTATACATGTTTTTTTTACCAGTCGCTGTCCGTTAATAGATTTTATTTTAGGATCATACAGTTAATGCAGAAAACAGTTAGTAATGCCAAGCAGCCTTAAATTCGACTGTGTATAATCCAGTAATGCAGCTCAGAAATAGTTTTTTAATTATTTTTTCTACGCTTTTTGGCGCCTCCCCCCCCCCCCCCCCCCCCCCCACCGCCCGCCCCTCGGTCGGCGCCCGGTGCGGTCGCGCGTTGTCCTTCAAATGTACTTAACATCGCGCTGTCCAACAAATATTGAATGCCTTGTCATGAAATATAGATGCTCAACACATATTGAACCTAGCTTCTTGTTATCCAAAAAATACACTAAACATGTACAGCAAATTTACTAAGCTTCCTGTTGTTCAACAAATATACTAAACATGTACAACAAAAGTACTAAGCTTCCTGTCCAACAAATATACGAAACATGTCCAACAAATGAAGTTATACCACCAGCATCCATATAATACATAAAACCAGGCACTTGTTCTCTGTTGACCTCGCTTAGTGGTCTGTCTGGCAGTGAAATTATTTCTAATTTGTAACATTAAATCTAATTTTTTTATGCGTCTAGAAAATAGCTTAATGTTCATGGTCGAGGTTTAAAATAGTTACACTAGTGACTAAGCTAAATAACCCAATCTTCGGGGTCATGACCCTTAACTGCGTGACTGTTTTATTACATGGATTAATACAGCTCATAACAATGTTTTAAAAAGTCGCTTGATTTCTATAGGCGTGGTAATTGATTTCCTTATGGAAAGTATTACACTGATTGTTGTTATATAGATACAAGTATTGTTATTTTACAGCGATGCAGTTTGCGAGAGACTTTGTTTTGCTTATCAAACTTGGAGCTGTGTAATCCTAGTCCTGTGTACGTTTAGCTAGGCGTTGTTTAATATTTTCTTGTAAACAAGATGTCTGCAGGTGATGCCAAGTTTATCATAACTTTACCTTGGTCTTAGCGCGTGTCTTAGGTTTCAACTGCTTGAAGCTCCACCGCTACAACTTTTTAAGCACCACTTCTTCAACTCCGCACTGTTACTGCTTTTAAAGCTCTATTGTTGCAACTATTGTATAAGTTTCACGGTTACGACTCTTTTTACGCTTTACAGTATTAACACTTTAAGCTCCACTGATACAATTCGTTAAGCTTCACTGTTACAACTCTTTATGTTAAGCTCCACTGTTACAACCAATTAAGCTCCACTGCTACAACTCTTTAAGCTCCACTGCTACAACTCTTTAAGCTCTACTGCTACAACTCTTTAAGCTCCACTGCTACAACTCTTTAAGCTCTACTGCTACAACTCTTTAGCTCCACTGCTACAACTCTTTAAGCTCCACTGCTACAACTCTTTAATCTCCACTCTTACAGCCTTATAAGCTCCACTGCTACAACTCTTTAAGCTCCACTGCTACAACTCTTTAAGCTCTACTGCTACAACTCTTTAAGCTCCACTGCTACAACTCTTTAAGCTCCACTGCTACAACTCTTTAAGCTCTACTGCTACAACTCTTTAAGCTCCACTGCTACAACTCTTTAATATCCACTCTTACAGCCTTATAAGCTCCACTGCTACAACTCTTTAAGCTCTACTGTTACAGCCTTATAAGCTCCACTGCTACAACTCTTTAAGGGGGCAGTATCACCCAGACTAAGGGAGGAAAACAAAAATATTTACAAAAAAAAAAACTATTCGACATACATATGTCAAAATTGTACAGCAGTAGTAACGCTTCTTCTGCTATAATACAGTATATAAATTGTAGGGTATACGTATAGCAACATATTTGCAAAAAATATTTTGTTAATATTTTATTACATTTTGAATTTTTGTGTAAACAATTTTCTGAAACCATAAGTAAAGTAGGCCTACTTAAAATTTAGTATAAACCTTCCTTGCGTTAATGGCTATCGTCGGAACTAAAATCATAGGATTCTAATGAGGGATACATTTTTTAGAAAATTTATAAGTTCGATTTTTTTGGTCTGACTTTGAAAAATTCTAAAAATTTCAAAATTTGCCGAAATGGATATCTTCTAGTTCCAGCGATAGGCTATCCTGTTATGCATCTCCCAGTGTATTTTCAGCAAGATGGGCCTAAATGTTGGAAAACCGCAGCCACAAATTACTTTGTAAAAAATTTTTGGTTAAAATATTTATAAAAAATGTTTGCATCATACATTAACTTTCTTTTATGTGCTGTTTTATAGCTCCTTATTAATTACTATTATGGTACAAAAATTATGTGTGTATGTGTAATAGTTTTTCGTCAATTTTC